TTTATAATATTTAATAAAATTTATTTAATTATTGACAAGTTGCAAAAGAAGATAAATAATTCATTAAAATACGCCATAAATTTTGTATAAACTTTTAGAATGGTTGTTAGTTAAATAGTCAAAAAGCTTTTATTTTTAATTCTTTTATAATTACTAATTGTTATTTTAGATAAAAAATATATGAGGTGTCAAAATTTTTGCACTACAATAAACTCTTATAGTCAAATAAAAAAATTCACAAATAAAAAACTAGAAAATTTTTTTGTTTGCAATTTTTCCCGTGTCATATTTTTTTTTTTATTTTGTTAATAATTTTTTATTTTGAGCTGAAAAAAAAATTAGTTATTTAAACAAAAGTATTTTAATTTTTGTACATTTTTGCACAATTTTTAAATACAATTTATTACTATTTTTAGTTATTAATTATAGTGAACGCGTGTCCAATCATTATGACTAAAAATAATATTTGCACTAATGTTAATTTAATTAATTCCTTTCACTTCCAAGTTTATTTTAAAATATTCATAATGTTTAAAACATAATTGTTTTTATGTCATTGTATGATGATGTCTCATAAATTCATATTTTCTATTTATTTATTTATATACAAACAGTTGGAATTATTTGCAGAGCTTGATATATGGTAAATTAAAAATTAATCTAAAGTGCTAAACTCAAAACCCCATGGATTCATATATTGTAGACGCACAATAAAAAAAAATAAAGCCAAGTCTAAGGTCAAATTTTGCCCAGATCTGTCACTTATGCAATAGAATAACCATTGAAGAAGTATTGTAACTGAATATTAATATGAGTATATGTTACATTTTAACATATGGAAAAAAATCCAAAAATAAGAAAATAATCATCTATACAACACTTATTGCGTAGATACTTAGGCTGACAATAAAGTTTGTTTAGGGAACTATCACTGCCTTAACTAATATCTCTTACTGAATATATGAATCTAGTATCAACGAGCTTAAGAGCCAAACTCTTTGGCAGTTTCGATAAATGACGATGACTTATTAAGGAAGTTAAGTCTATGGTTATAAGTTAGGTTAAATCCTCTTATTTGATATAAAGTTGTTTGTTGAATCAACGAGCTTAAGAGCCCAAGTGTTTGGCAATTTCGACAAATAAGGATGACTTCTTAAGGAAGTTAAGTCTATAGTTATAAGTAAGATTAAATCCTCTTATTCGAAATAAAGTTTTTTGTATACTCTAAATTCGGGCAATGTGGTTTAAAGACTAACAAGAGGTGTTAGTAACAGCTTGTTCCTCACCAACAAAGACGCTATATTTACACATTTTACCAATTAATATTTATGTGTTTATACCAAAAACTACTTTGAGAATTTAGATGTCTGTTTAAATTGATATTTCGATGTACATAATATCGTCAACTAAATTGCATTACATTGTCGATTACTTACTATTGTTTGGATACTCTGATCTGGCTTTTGATAGATTTTATAATAAACCAAAATCTTTATTATGCAGACTGATTTCTTCAAGTTTTAGTTAGATTAGATGTGCGCAGAAAAGTGATTCCTGTCGACTCTGTCATAAGAAGAAGGAAACATCAGAATATATCCTATACAACTGCCCAGCGGCGGCAAGACGTAGACTCGACTATCTTAAAAGCGAGATCTTAGTCCCAAATCAATTAGATAAAATTAAACCCACAGCAATTACGAGATTTATAAATAGTCTAGAATTTTTTTAGTTTGGCCTTTAGGCGCACAATAGATGTGAAATTTATTATTGCATTGTAATCTGGTAATGGTGCTTCTGTGAAAAAATTTTGTTGGATGAGGGAGATTTTTAAAATAACGATTGTTCTGGATGTTATGCCGTAAAATAAGCCTAATTTAAGATGTGTGCGATTTCGTAACTTTTGTAAATATTGTAAATATTTGTAGATGTGAGGGAAAATCCTTCAAGCCGATGTTCTAGCAATTCTAGTCTAGTTATCTTTTTTTATTTATTTATTTTCTCGATACACCTAACTAAAAACCACCATTCAAAAAATACTTATACAGGCACCGAGAATTATTAGATGGTTTATTTTTAACTGAATTCAGCTAATCAATGGACACACAAAATAAAAACTTATATTACTTATAATAAAAACTTTATCTTATCTCTTCATATATAACTTGTTGGTAATCTTCTCATAAATCTAATTGCAAAATCTATTATTAGATTGTTCCAATTACGCTAAGTCGTAATTTTTTTATCTAATTCTATTTTAAAAATTTGTATCTCTTTATATGAAGGAAATGCTCTTTAAGCAATTGGAACCAAATTAAATTTGAACTCACGCGCACACTTCACACTATCACACAGTCATAAAATTTTAATTCCAATAAAATTCCTTAATGAAGCTTATAAACAAAATAAAATTTAATGTTATATTCATGATTAAAAAAAAAATATAAAATCATAAAATTAACTTAGAATAAAAATTAAAATAGTTCTAGAAAGAGGTAACCGGTTGTCTTGTGCGATTAATTTTTTAAATGCTTCTGACAGTTTTTATTTTGAATTTAATTTGATTACCTAAAACTTCTAACTTTTAATTTTATGCTTATTCTGAACTTTTACCAAACTTTTTATAGAACCCAAAACCTGTTCAACCCATAGAACGCACATAACTTTAGGTCGTAAATCTTTAAAATTCCATATGAATCTGGCACTGGTTAGTACGGTTATTTGTTGGCTAATGTGACTTTAAAGTCTGACAGTTTGATTACTCATGATTTTTGGTTTGATAACGACTATACCGGACAGCTGCCACCAAGTCTGGCATTAAGATGATGGAACATTCTTTTGATGTTCATGAGAATACATTAAATAATGAACTAATTAAATATTTAAATAATTAAATGAAAATCAAACAGTGTTAAGCTTTAATTAAATTAAGAAAAATTTAATTTTATTGTTAAGAAATAGCGGTTTAGTATTTATGTATTTCAGTAAAGTGACATATAATTATTTAGCGGAAATTTAATGAAGTATCATTCATATCTCCAAACTACTAGTATATGAGTAAATGTTAAATAGCTTTTAATTAACAAAAAAAAATTTGGATTATAATATTTAATGTATTTTTTAATGCTTTTTTAAATGCATTTTTATATACATTTAATTCATAGTTTGTAACATATTCAATTATGTCTCTGTGACATAAAGGTTCAAGTGACGAACATTTTAATGCCATAGTCACCTCACACAACTATGCCCTTTTATTCCAATTTCATGAGGCACTTTCTCTCCGAGATAAAAGCATATAAACATTTAGTATAAGTTGGCAATATACAGTTTATTTTAGTTAACAAATAACATACACTGACTACAAACTAATATTTTTAATTATAAAAAGATTGTCACGTATACAAAATCTTTGAGTTTTTTAATTAAATTTAAAAGACGAAAGTGCCGTCGAAAAATGTACAAAAATTAAAATACTTGTACATATACATGTTAGAATAAATAATAAATGAAAGAATATTTCGTTCTTTTGTTTTGTTGCAATAAGTGGGAAGTATCGACAGCCATAGTGTGAGACTTTAACCCACTAAATCCACCTCTTACAATTAATGGAGAAGATTTCCACCGTAGTGTGAAAACTTCATTCCAGTAATTAGATGAGAGAAATAAGAGAAAAAGGTTTACTATTTACCGGACCTAAACCTAGCTTAGGTTTATCTAAGCTACAAAACAAAGGGCGTGCCGCAGGTAGATGGAAAGTAGGTGATTGAGACAGAGTATTTTTGCGTAAACGGAGCGGAGGGGGGAATAGTGGTAGATTCTGTGACTGGAGTCACGAGTGCCATGATTGTAGAGGGGTATTTTTAGGCATTCAAATCCCACTCATCGAAATATAGCGTGAAGTGTAGTTGTGGGTTACAGAGAATGTCTTGGACGAGGTCTGCAGGAAGAAGAAACTTAATAAAGAGAAGAGTGTTAAAAAATATTTTTTATATTTCAAAGTATTTTAACCAGTTATTATGTTCTGTAAAAATAATGAACTTAAAGTTTTACAATATATACTTATTACGTTACATATTTTGGAATATCTGTAATATATTATAGATATAAATATATTAAAGATCTATAATATATTATTACGTCATATAAAGAAAAATTTTATGTCTTTCGCCGCATAAGAAAAGTCAGACTAGCTTACCTCTCCTTAAACTAAGAGGTAAGCTAAGAGCAGTTACATATATACCTGCAGCCGTTCGCAACAAAAAGGAATCAATTAGACCTCTTTAAGAGCAATTGAATGATAATGAACTATAATGTTCATAAGGTTATATAATCTAATATAGCATAGAAAAAGCGGAAATATAAGACGTTAGGATGACGAGATTGACATTCTGTAGCATTTGATTCTTGCATTTGATCGACACTCAAGTGTCGATCAAATGCAAGAGTCAATGTAGTGATCATAAAACGGATTATAGATGGCACTCCAAAGTATGCATGATGTTCATGTCATGATGTCATGATGTTCAGTCATTTCATACAAAATCTTTATGGACAATCTGTATTCTATGAATCCAGAATTATATATCATATATCCAACATCCAATATGAGCATAATCATGTGACCATCATATGTTTTTAATTCTTTTATAAATAAATAAATACTAAAAAATATAATATATTAATCGATCTACTCTTATTCACAAAACATGCTCACCAATCAGGCTTTTCTATAAATTTGAATGACATTTAAAAACAAAAATTTTATGTTTTTAAAGCACCAGGACATATTTTTTTATTTCAGGAATCGTAATTTTGGATGATTTGTCAAATATTGTATATTTTTATACATTATACAATAGTAAGCAATATAATATATCTTACAAGTAACAAACAGTTTTTAGGTTAGCAAACAAAAACTGTCGCAGGGGTACAACGTTTCTTCAAATCATCTCCAATTTCATTTGCCATTATCGCGTTTCTTCAGCAGTTTAGCATTTTTCTTCAAATATTTAATGGATTCATCAACGTCTAAAGGAATAAGATTCTTGAACACTTTTTGATGACGACCAAAATTAAGTTTTTTAGTCATCTATTATATTGATAATTAGAAAGAATAATTAATAAATAAGCAATATTAAAAATAAAAATAGTATTTTCACCTGACGTCTAGCAATAAGAGACTGTTCTAGTTGTATATCCTTCAGAGTTTTTTTATCTAATTTTGCGTATATACTGCATCAGTCATTCCATTCATATCTTTACTGATGGAATTCGTAATTGGTGTACATAAAGGTTTTTTATCCAAAACCACAGAAGTTTTTCCACTTTTCCTGGCATTATTAATACCCTTCTCCTTAGTACTTGGCTTAGAGGGTACAACACTGTCCTTTCTCTTTTTTTCCTTACCACCAATTTCTGTACCACAATTCGGACAAACTATTTTCTCTGCCATCAATAAATCTACATTTGTTCTTGAATACTTTGTTAAGCGCTTACAAGTTACTGGCTTTCTACGATTGCAGTAGTTAGCCGTTGCCATTTTTATGCTGAATCACAATTTAGAAAATTCCAAATAAAATGAAAAAATACATAATTAAAGGCCAAAAATAAATTTACTTAGATAATCAGAAAGTGAATATCTAAAATTTTTATCCATAAGAAAAAAATTTTTGATCAAAGAGTACTTGGATTAAAATATTTAAAAGGGTACAATTTTACAATTATGGATTTGGCGCTAATATTACATTTATATAATTTACATTTAATTACATTTATATATATCAATGACGTACAATTCATGGATCATCCGGATGCAGTGGTTGTCGGTAAATTGTAGAAAAATGATTTTATGAAGAAGTTTTCTCTCGAAAACTACCAGTGCTATTTCATTGTTCTGTCATAATGTTCATACTTCTGCGCCATACAGAAACACAGATAGAATGAGGGACCTATAGAGCGTAAATTCTGTTTGTCGTGAAAGAACTCTCCAGCCCAACTGTCTACTGAGCTCAAAACAACAGCCATTGGCAATGGTGATTCTTCGCCTGATATTCAGGCTGACATCGTTATTGCGGTGCCAAAATTGATGAAATCCTTGACAGCTTCGAAAGTATAGTCGCCAATCACTACACCGGCATCTGAGTGTTGCACATTTCTACCAGTAGCAGATATATACTTCGTTTTGCCCTTATTCACCGTTAAGCCCATATTTGCAGATTCCTTCTTGATAGTTGCAAAGTCAGCTAATACATCTCTCTTGCTACGTCCAATGATGACGATGTCATCGTAAACTTGAAGCTGGATACATTTGAGAAATATGATTACATCACCTATTCAGAGGTATCTCGAGGAGACCATGCTACAGCTTGAATTGAGAACGACGATTAGACACGTTGTCTTGTGTTCTCGTTCCCAGGAGCTCGTGGGCTCTGTGACGTATTACTCAGCATAAGAGCTGAGACTCAGCAAGATTATTTAGACTCAGCGAGATGAATGTGGCCTTAACTATAGGCGTTTCTTGGGAATAATTTGAAATTAAAATGGAGCATAATCGTTTATTCTGTGAAGCGAAAAAATATCTCTAATGAATCACTACAACCACTCTTAAGTTTTGCAAGCCTTTTGAAGATTCCTTCTTATTTTAAATCTATTCAATTCAAATCCACTTCCAATCAATCAAATATATAATTTCAATAATAACTCATTAAAATCTCATTCATGCTTCATCCATCATTCATTTTCATGTTTTTGTGTTAATAAAAATACAAATTAAGTTTTTTGCTTGCAATTTTTTGAATATAGAAGTATTTGTGGGTCAATCGATGTCAAATTTGTCTAAAAATGAAAGAGGCGTACATATCAAGATGATAGATTTTTTTTCCATAATTTATGTATTTATGTGAATGATCCACAACTCACCAAATAAGAAGAAGTAACACTAACGCATGTTGCATTTTTATTGTCAACAAACTATCTTTGGTAAATTTGGCAAAGGTCATCATAAAAATATCTGAAGGCACAAACGTTTAAAAATCTGTATTAATTATGTCTAATTTATTACAATCATTCAACAAATTTATTTATCAAGTCTTATTTAAATATTATTTGATTTTGATTTTGATTATTGATTAATTGATATCGACTTATCTCCTACAGGTGTCTTTGAGATATCTCGACATGGTGTTGCTTTGTTGCAATTCCACACACAATTTGTTTTGAATTCTTCTACTTTAAATTTAAGCCCAATTATACGATAAATAAAAAAAACTGTCAAATCAAAAATGGTGAGAAACCTACTACAAGACCATACATATTTGATCAATAGTATAAAGCAAGTAAAATATTTTGATTGCTTCATTCATAAATACCCGTATCGTAAATTTATTAAAATTAACTTGGACATAACATATCGTGTTTCATAAAATAATAAATTAATTGAAAAAAATCAATAAAATCATAAAATACTTTTGTTGCACAAATAAAAATTAATTAAAAAATATGATAATTATTTTATTATTTTAAACCACTTACGATTACGATTAGATAAAGATATTGTATAATTAAGATTAATCAAAGATTTGTGGTTTATTATATTAATTTTTTCATATTGAAGAGTTGTTATTTGGAGATTAAATTAACTAGAAGGTTATGTATTTTATACTTAAAGCTTTTGGAATAAAACTTTTATTTAACAAGAAAATATACTTTTTCTGTCATATGCTTTTTACAGGGAATCATCAGACCTCTACCATCCTTTTATATCTACCATCCTTTATCTTTTTATATCAATTTCGATTTCACAGCTAATATTCCTTCATGAATAAGTTTTTCACTCTATCTACTATCCTTCCAGTTTCAGCGATATTCTTGAACGATAGGTTTCATCCTAGTACTCAACAACAACATTCTAGTGTCCAACTCAATATCAATTGAATTTACAAATTTTTATTATAATGCTTTAATGCCTGGCGCGTTAGACCTGCGAAACTGCTAAAGATTGTAAGGACTTCAACTCATTTTGAATCTATAGATTTTCTTTAGACTGCACTCTTCAAATTACTAATACAATTAGGTTCCGAAACATTCAATATTAAAAATAGACTTTTATTTAAAAAAACACAGTTTTAAATTGCTTGTTATCGTTCTTCCCTACTTAGCTTCTATGTATAGACAAGCACTATTTTAAGTTGGAGCTCCAAATACCAATTTTTGTGTGAGCCTCAATATAAGGATTTTGGGTGGTGCGAAAACTTGTTTTATACACTTACATTAATAACTAAGGTATTTAGATAATTCCTCAATCATAATTTATTATCTATATTTAAGACGATTAGATTTCTACTCTGTACGAAACTCAACGTTTCGTATTAACAAGTTACTAAGTGGCGCACTTTTGATCTTTTCGAAGTTTTTAGAAAAATCCACATTGATGTTCGTTAAGTATGCAGAATGTGCTTTATTTCATTGAAGAATCGTTTACAAAACATACATCTATTAACATCGTAGGGGTCTGCTTATTTAAAACCATATGCCTCTTTTCTTATACAGATACTATAAAACTAATAGCAAAATAGACACCAAAAAAATATAGCAAAAAATGATGGTATCCAATGGAAATCTTGTCTGACTGAGCTTCCACAAAAAAAACTAAATCACTATTATTAATTATAATCACTTTTTAATATAAAATAATCACAGCATTCAAATCACATAAAGAGAAAGCCACCTTACAAATTAGTTTAAAAAAATCGAGATGAGAGCCATTCTTCCGAAATAACTTATTATATTTTATATTATTACATTTAATATTTGACAAATTCCAAACTCTAGTAAGATTTATTGAAGATATTATTGAATACATATAGAATTAAAAACCAAAGCTGTGTGGAACAAATCTTTTTCTGCCGCTGTACGTCCTTGTCTTCAATATTCTTCTTCTTAGTGTTCTAATGTTCTTCTTAGTGTAATATTTGACAAATTCCAAACTCTAGTAAGATGTATTGAAGATACTATTGAATACATATAGAATTA